TGTGTGGGTCAGCAGCAGACACACCTCTCAAAAAGCTAGATGATATCCAGTATGAGGCTTTACAATGATGCGAAGGAGCATTTCAAACTACTCCAATACTACTATGGGTTGAATTGGGAGAAATGTGACTGGAAATCAGGAGAACACAGATATCACTAAACTGCTGGCTTGATTTGCAGGGATACACTCAAGATCATCATCAGTGAATTCAACATCAGCCCAACAGTTCCACCAACAACAATATAACCGTGCACTTCCAGAAGCCACAGTATACTTTACAATCCTAGAAAAAAAAAAAAAAACAATTACAAGGAGCTTATTCTAAATCCACAGATCATACAGACATACATTAACAGCTACTACAGTTGATTACAGATCTACGCTGGTGCTTCAAAGAATCAGGGAAGTAAAATAGGCATAGCTTTATTTGTTCAGGAGTTCAGTCTCTAAACAGGGGACAGGATTAGTGTGGAACTGTTTGTCTGCTCAGGAAAAATGAAAGCAACATTTACAGAACAGTCATTTAGACAGCAGACCAGACATCAAAATAGAAACACACCAATCACTACCCATCCATTCATCCATCCATTACACCACTTAATCCTCATTAGGGTCGCGGGGGCCTGGAGCCTATCCCAGCCGACTTTGGCTGGGGACACCCTGGACAGGTCACCAGTCTATCACAGGGCTACACTTAGAGACAAACAACCAAGCACACTCACATTCACACCTATGGACGATTTAGAATCACCAATTAACCACAACATGTTTTTAAACCTTGTGGGAGGAAGCCGGAGAACCCGGAGAGAACCCACGCTCCACAGGGAGAACATGCAAACTCCACACAAAAAGATCCCGGGTGTCCTCACTGGGATGCGAACCGGCAACCTTTTTGCTTTGAGGCAACAGTGCTACCAACTGAGGTACCTTGCAGCCCAATCACTATACAAAACCTAAAAAAATGGGAGATTCAGTTACATTTCTGNGGTCTGTGCACTGGTCACACTACTTGACCATTGTCCTTGAACACTTCAAAAACTAAACAATTAGCTAAACTTAACCCTTGTTGAACTGAAACAACAGCAATGAGATTTTAGACATTTCTGTAGGTGAGAAAAAGACCATTTGTGCTCAGTGTATACGTATTGTTTATGTAAAGATGTGCCCTAGAAGAAATTCCAGAGCTTTCACACATGACGCTCCCTCCATTCCCCACTCTCACCCAACCAGTCAAGGCAGACGGTTGCATTCTCTGAGCCTGGTTCTGCCGGAGGCTTTTTTTCCCCCCTCCCTTGGGGGGGTTATTGGTTCCTTCCCACCGTTGCCAACTGCTTGCTCAGAGGAAGTCCAAAGACTGCTTTGGATTGTTAAATTTGTAAGGTCTATACCTTACTACGTTAAGCGCTATGTGGTGACATATGTTGTAAACTGCGCTATACAAATAAAATTTAATTGGACTGAACTAACTGAAATGGGCTTCACTGAACAACAAACTTCAGGAGCTTATTCCCCTGCTTGACTTAAAATCCATACTCCCACTAGGAGATAAGCTGATCAACAGTCAGCTTTTTTTTTCTTTTTAAAAATCACACATTATACATAAAATACATTACAGTACTACAAGACAACACATTTCTTATCATCCATCTAGCAATCGCTTCACTAAATTTATTTGACTAAGTGGCACATTTGATTCTATTCCAAAAACTAGCAACAACAATCACCATAGAGGATGCTTTACTGCATGGACAAGAACACCCACTAACAGACAGGTAAAACTGCTCCAATATCCTAAATATTCCAAACTAGGGTTTATCCCTGGTTCTTTGTTTATCCCTGGTTCTTTGTTTATCCCTGGTTCTTTGAGTCCTTTCAATTTTTTCATACTCCCATTTCGTAGATTGGTCTAACTGGTTAGACTTTAAAATAACAGAAACAGATCAAAACAAAACCCAGACAGAAATGTGGATGACTCTGGCATTAATGGTTTCATGCCTGCTGCAATTAGTAGTCACAATAAATTCCTCTATTACAGGACATGCCGTTTTATATTATAATAGTAGGTGTAGTAAACAGTGAATTAGAACGGTATGTAACAGTATGTATTGATCAACTGCACCCAGAGATGATAACATGACTGTGGTCTAAATAATAATAATAATTTTTTAAATGAAGAAACTTCTCCCACCTCTGTTACCAACTGTGGAGCTCCTTATCTGAAACCGCAAGCTGCTGCTACAATTAACTTGATATCCAGAGGATGCTGATAAATGGCAAAGGACAAAACCATTGAGATGTTGTGCTTGCTTGGTGACTCATCGCTGATACCAGAGAGGAGTGTTGGAGGGGCAGTGCTGTGCTGACATCACAAGCCAGTGAGGCGACAACAGGAAACTATGGAAACAGGGTTCTTCCCACTCATGGACCACAGCACGTACTTCATCGCTTAACAACAGGGCTTCGCAAAGAGCATTTTAACCTTCACACAGACACCATGAACCAGCTTAGAACTATTTTAACATTTCAGCATTGTGGTACCCACAGCTGATGATGCCATTTTTTAAAAAATATATTTGTTGACAGCTAGTCGACATTTCTATAACAGCAAAGATTGAGCTAATGTCGAGTTCGAAATGGGACTTCTGCTGGAGTGGAAAGACGTTTTACAGTGTTCAAATATTTTTCAAAGCACTAAGACACCATTGCCGTCACAGTAAACACACTTCAGGTCTGAACAGGAAGCGATAAATAGCCATCTTTAACTCGAGTTGAGCAATCCCTACCACACGCATATCCGGCCATCTGTCCGAGCGAGCGACATGTAAAGAGAAAAGACGAACTTATTTCGCTTCTTAGGTACCAAATGAGACTAACTGTCACGTCGCTGCTGTGCACGAGCTAACGTTAGCTATCTTTTGCGTTGGTTTGCGTTTGACTGGATAAACATGGCACCTAAGCTGCAACCAGTGTCAGTGAATATGTCGAAATTGTAGCAAGTTAAATTAAGCTAGATGGGGAATTGAAAAAATAATAAAAAGAAGAAGATGTTTACCAGATACCTGTTCGCTGCCGCTGCACGTCTTTCAAGCGCCTGAACTGAGGAGCTCAAGCAGAAGCAGCAACATCCACACCTCCACTTTTCACAATAAAAGCATCCTCTCTGCAAACGCGCAGCTCAGAAACACACACACGCCTTTATTTGTTTGTCCTCACCAAGGCGCAGCCATCTGATATGATAGCCTCGTTCCTGCACTAATACACATGTGCATAATGCGTGTTTAGTCCTTTAAAACCAAGGAAATCCCTTTACTTTGAAAATCTGACGCGTTTTTGTTTTTTAACTAAATGATAAATGAAAGATTACCATATCATACAGAAAAGAACGGATGCATCCTAATATTAGGGTGGCCTTCCAGTGGGAAGAAAAGAAACAACTATTCCCCAAAGTATGACACTGATTGTGGAACACCAGAGAAGTATGGTCAGCCCTTTATTGTTTTCTGTAATGATAAATAATTTATTTTTAGAAATGGAGAATGGGTTGGGGTTTTCACTTCTTTTTACAGAGGATGGAACAATATGGAAGAGAGGAAGGAATCTGGAATTTATTATAAAGAAACGGCAGGCCTACTAAAGTAGAAGGCTGGTCAAATAAAAAGCCTTTTAAATAATCAGTCAATGACACAAAGACAGAATTCTTTACAAGGAATAGAATTGAACGAGCAGTGAAAGTAAAAGAGTATAATTGTGTGGGTCAGCAGCAGACACACCTCTCAAAAAGCTAGATGATATCCAGTGTCAGGCTTTACAATGATGCAAAGGAGCATTTCAGACTACTCCAATACCACTATGGGTTGAAGTGTAGTATAGTGTGGAATTGTCTGTCTGTCTGCTCAGGAAAATGAAAGCAACATTTACAGAACAGTCATTCAGACAGCAGACCAGATATCAAAATAGAAACACACCAATCACTATACATCTATCCATCCATCCATCATCTATACACCGCTTAATCCTCACTATGGTCGCAGGGGGCTGGAGTCTATCCCAGCTGACTTTGGGTGAAGGCAGGGGACACCCTGGACAGATCACCAGTCTATCACAGGGCTACACTTAGAGACAGACAACCAAGCACACTCACATTCACACCTATGGACGATTTAGAATCACCAATTAACCTCAACATGTTTTTAGACCTTGTGGGAGGAAGCCAGAGAACCTGGAGAGAACCCACGCTGCACGGGGAGAACATGCAAACTCCACATAGAAAGATCCCAGGTGTCCTCACTGGGACACGAACTGGCGACCTTCTTGCTGCGAGTCAACAGTGCTACCAACTGCACCACCTTGCAGCCCAATCACTATACAAAACCTAAAAAATGGGAGATTCAGTTACATTTCTGAAGATATTTGCACACACCTGAATAAAAGGAAAAGAAATGGCAGACAAGACAGCAAAGGACGCCACATAAATGCTCACATTGACCAAAATCAAAAGCATCATGAAGCAGAGACTGAACCAAAGGTGGCAAAGCAATGAGAGAAAGAGAAACAATAATACCAAGACTCAGATTTGGACACAGTGGATTAAACTGTGCACTGTTCTAAACACATCACTGGCTGGCAGATGTGACTACAGCGAGGAGGAAGAGACCGTAATGATACATTGTCAAAAATATGACACAGAAGGAAGACAGTTAATCCCAAACCTCAGGAAGATAAAAGTAAAATTTGACACCATGGATATTTTATGAAGCAATGCTATTCAATTACTTAGACACACAAAGTTAATTGAATGAGTTGTTTTTTGTTGTTGTTGTTTGTTTTGTTTTGTTTAGTTTTGATCTGACTGCGTGCACATTCCTCACCACTTGGTGGCGGTAATGCACCAATACGCTGTTTGCCGACCGCCAATAACCCTCAAAGAAGACGAGGAAGAAATTTTGTTTTTCTCTGTTTGGCTTCTGTTTGCTGAAGAGGGTCAAGCGTCAACACTGCAGAACAATTGTGTGTTATACTTGTAGCGGATAGTTTGCTATCACCAGACAGTGTCTACTGAATCACAACACCATGTGAATGCAGGTATGTTTCTCAATAACGTAAGTTGTTGTTTCCTGTGTGGCGGTTTGTTGTCTTCCACCTCATCTGCCTGTCTTAATAAAATGTAGCATAGCACAACATCACAGTTAGTGTCTTATTAAAAATAATACTTAGTCCTAGAAGGGAAAAAAACGACAGAGCTACGTAGTAGTTAGCACATCGCGTTATACTCCCCACGTGTACCAGCGAGGTAGTCTTTGCATCGCACTTAAGCAATAACAGGTTCCAGACTTTACATAGACTATAGACAGGAAGCCTTGTTTCCACACGACTATTTAAGTCTTGTCAGCTTAATTATGATCCCAGCTCATTACCAGAAGGCTGTACTACGAAACGAGATTAGTGGGTTAGCGAGGTGTGTCGAGCTTAAAGTTTAAAGTGGTTCTCTTTTTACCTGGCTAGATCTCCATGGTAACTGATGCTGTGGAGCTAACCTGGTCGGGAGCAGCTTATGTTCAGAGTTTCTGATTTATATCGGCCGGAAGGAGCGTCTCCCTTTAACCACGTCGTTTCCTGACTATTTTATATGAGCGATACAGATTCTCAGCTGAGGGAATGTGTTTTATCTGCAAACATGCTGAGCTGTACGTTACTAATATCACTGAATGAAGCCGTGTAGTTAAAGTATCACACACTGTATGTATTGGGTTGCCATGGGAACCAGACAGGTATTTAGTTGGTGATGCAGAAATCACATAAATATGTTTTTATGTTTGCTGTTAAGTCCGTTTACACTGCTGGTACTGTAGCTGATAGAACACAGATTAGAAAATGGATTATTCTACTGGTGTTTAGTACAGAGAATATTCAATCAATAGCATTAATTTTGCTTTGATTTGGACAAAAATTAAAGTGATTTCCTGCATTATGGGACAGTGTCAGACCTAAATGCACTTCAATACAATATCGGGTTTAAATATATTAAGTTTCAGCTGGAAATAAACGGCTGTATCAGTAAAATGCTATTAACATGTTTAACAGTTTTCTACCAGCATTCCTGTCTTGGACCATTTGCAGTAGCAGCACTTTTTTACAGTCATATTTTTTTATATTCCTCATTGTTCTACATTAAAACTACGCGTTGACTGAAGCAGCTGCAGACAATCATTTCATTTTGTGCAGCAGAAGAGTCACATAACACATTAAACACCTCTTTTTATGTGAATGCACACAGAGTTTGAAGCAGAAAGCCTGAGTTGACGAAGAAAGTTGATAGCCACCTTCGTCATTCCCGTAGTCTCTGATTGGAGCTTTAGTTTTTGTCAAGCAGACTTACACAAAGAAAGTCCGGCTGTGCCAAACTTGCTTTGTAGTACGGCTCTCCTTTCAAGACCAATGAAAGACTAATACATTAAAAAGAGCCTGAGGGAAGAAGCTGTTACACAAAACCTTTAGAACATCATGATGGAGGCTTCAAAAGCATGTGTGACGGGTCTTCCACAATGCTTAGAGGCCTCCCAAATACAGAGAGTGTCGTAGATGTCCAGAGGTCACAGAGGAGAGACCCCAGTGAGTTTCTGTTTGCACAACTCTGCAGAGCTCTGTGGTCATCGGCGTGGCACACTGGTACAATGATCAGGTCAATCAGTCGTATGTGGACTGACTTTGGAAAATGTCTTTCTTAAACCTGTTGGTGACAGACTACTGGAGCAGCAGGTCATCTGACAGACGGGTGGCTTTTACTGCTAAATCAGTGTTGAGTTTCTCAAAGTGTGCTTAGAGGTTGATGGGTGTGTCAGGGTGGGAAACATCAGTGTCACAATCACACAGAGGGATCTTCGACTCTGTAATGGCCCGTTTACCTTACCACATATGCGTATCTTTCATGTAGGTTAAGTGGTTGTTGATTTTTTTTGGAGCCAACTCCCTCTTAGCCAGCTTAATGCCACATGACAAGTTAGATCTTGAATTTCGACTGCGAGTGGGAATGTCACTGTAAAGAGATGGATAGTGTTGGAGGAGCTTATGGACATCAGATCTGGCAGCATTGGACAGATGACCTAAACATGCATTTAAATTTGACAATCTCTGAGTTTCTGAGGTGCACACAGGAAGCAGAGTTGTGCTGGTCATCATTGGTCATCACGTGCCTACTCAGGCAAATATAGATTGTGATTTACATTTATGTGATGGATAATTCTACAAAGAAGCTTCAAACAGACATAAATGCCTATTTATATTGTGCTAGGACAGGCTGTTCTAAGACACTGTTGAGAAATATCACTGTTACAGAGAAATGTACGACATTTTCAGCTGCTAAGGAGGAAAACTGGTGAATTGTTTTTATTGCGATATTTAAGAAAATGTTTCAAAGACAATGAATTTTCTATGGGTGGGGAAAATTGCTTGTGTAGATAAAGTTTTGTTCTGAATGGCCATTCAGTAAGCTTTAGGAGTCTCACTGTAAACGTATCCTTCAATATTTTTACACATCGGCCCTAGAACAAGTGTCAACTTGCTGTTTAACCCGGAGAGTGCTACTAGACCCCTAAACATAACTTTTGTGTGAGGTTACATTACAGTAGGTACAACTGACTACACTGACCACACCCAATGGTCCTCTCACATGTTTGTTTTCCATTTCAGATGCAGAGCACCATGGGGCGGCGCAGTAGCAGTGTTGTCTCCCACAGTGTTCCAGTAGTGAGTGCGTGCCTTGCTGCCCTGCTCCTCAGCAATGCCTTGATTTACCTTTATCTGGACTCTGTGTATCAGACTGGTGAGCAGCTGGCATCTCCTCAGTCGGGCTGTGTGCCTCAACACTTTAAAATGCCAACCATGAAAAACTGCACGCCCTGGCTCCAGTGTTCACAGATAAATGCTGAAGTACGCAAGCTGAAGCTGATCGGCCAGGGAGCCGTTAAGAAGGTAGATGGACTTTTATATTGTATGTTATCTTAATCTGTTGTCTGTGGATGAGATAACAAAAATGTGACATCAACAGAGAGCATTAAATCTTGTTAGTTGCCCATCTGAATCAGGATTTACCAGTTCAGTCAGTTTAGCACAAAATATTACAAATTAGATTCTAGTTGTGACTTAGGTTTGGTTAAAAAAAAAATAAAAAATAGATAAGAAAGATTCACTTCAGGATTTCAACTCCTATCTGCTCCAAAAAAAACTATTTGACAGTAGCACTATGTTGACAGCATTAAAAAGGGGGAACTGAACTGTAAGAACACAGTCTAAAACCTGGACAGTATACAGAGTCCTCACACTAGAACTATTTCATAGTTCTTCGTCAAAGAAGTACCATCCCTGGACTGAAGCATTTGATGAAAACCCTCATACACCATTTCCCTAAGACCTTTAGTAAAGGACCAATGTACAAGTGCACCTCAAAAAATTTGAGAACATTGGGAAAAAGTTTAAGAGTTTCTGAATGAAGGCATCTAGTCTGTTTAATTTCTAAATGATGGCATCCGTCCACAGTTGTGAATGATGATGGGTAACACTGGTTGGAGCAGAGAGGCTGCTCTCCACAGCTTTATATATAACACACACACACAAAAAAAGCACAGCGAAGAGCTCCTTTCATTGGGCATAGCAGGAAAAGCACAGTCATAACTATTTATCCTAATGGCCTCATATTATCAGTTACCCCATTAAGTAGTGTCAGTCAGCAAGCATGCACAGTATCAGGAGCCTTAAATTACATTTAGCCATTGTCATTGTCAACACTGACATCTGTTTTTTTTCCTCCTGTGATGCTTTTAGAATGTCTACTATGAAAAAGCTCTGTTGTAGAGCATCAGCTGTACTCTAAGTTAAAGTATGGTCAGCCTTCATCAAACTGAAATGAGCAATTTATGGCAAATTGGCAGAGTTAAGATTAAAAAATGTGTTTAAGAATCCAAAAATGTTGCTGAATGAGGCCTTTTGACATAACCAGCAGTCAGTATGCATTGAACAGGTTTAAGTTTAGACTTACTGACCTCACCATTCACACTTCTCTTCCCAGGTCTATCTGTCAGAGTGGAGAGGTCAGAAGGTGGCTCTCTCCAAACTTTCCTCTATGGATTACTTGGAGGATTTTCTCCATGGACTGTCCATGTTAGAGGCCTTACAGGGCCCCCAAGTGGTGCAGTTGGTGGGTTCTTGCCTTGAAGACCAAGCCTTTGTTACAGAGCATCACCCACTTGGCTCACTGCTTAACTTGGAAAGTGTTCTTACACAAGAGCAGCACCAGCAACACAACACATGGCAGATAAGACTGAGGTTGGCTACAGATTATGTCTCCATTCTTCATTACCTCCATAACAGTCCAGCTGGATGCCGAGTCATGTGTGATTCCAACAGCCTGGAGAAAACTCTGTCCCAATTTCTGCTGACAAATGATTTTCACCTGGTAGTGAATGACCTGGATGCACTGCCTAAGGTGGACCCATCCACAAGCTCATTAGTAAAATGTGGCCACCGAGAACTTACTGGAGATTTTGTGGCCCCAGAGCAGCTGTGGCCATTCAGAGACAATGGGAAGCCATTTTCAGACAATCTCATGCCAGGATATGATGAGAAGACAGATATCTGGAAAATCCCAGACGTGACATGGTTCCTGATGGGACGGGTACCTGGAGGGGATTTAGTCCACTTCCACCTTTTTCAGATCCATGAGGAGTGCAAGAAGGAAGACCCCAAGCTCCGCCCCTCAGCTCTCGATGTTTTGAAGGTGTACAAGTCAGTCTACAGCAGCATAGTGCAAGACAATTTAGGTTATAAGGACATGCTTTAGACTGAAGACTCCCTTATAAAGACCACAGACGTGCATTATACACTTGAGGAACAGATAGACTTGAGTATTCTGTACAGTAATGTATTCATATGTTTTTGTATTTTGTTCATTCTGATCAGCCCAGGCTTCATCTCTTATGAACCGAGTTTAGTTTTGAAACATTTTTTATTGATCTAATGTGAGAAGTGACAAATAACTAATGTACCAAGCTATCATGAAAATTCTTTCTCTTGCAAACAGAAACAAAAACTGTCATTTTTTAATACTTTGTGTGCTCAAGTTACAAATAGTACCACATAACGATTAGCATGCAGCAAGTTCCCTAAACGACTTTGTAGGAAGCATCAAGGACTGACTAATGAGACAATACTTAGTGAGGAACTTGTAGAGGACATCACCAAGTAACAGATGCATACTTTTTATAAAGCACATGTTTGATTGGCTGGAAAACAGCCTCAGAACATAACAGTACCACCACCATGCTTGATGGTAGGTTTGGTGTGCTTTGGTTTAAAGGACTCACTTTCTCTCCTCCAAACATATTTCTGGTCATTGTAGCCAAATATTTCAACAATAATATTTGAACTTTATTGGAATGTATATCTGCTTTGAAATTGCTCCAAGTTTCCTGACTTGTTCAAGTCAACGATTTGCTTGTTGAGATCTTTGCTGAGCTCCATAGACTTTACCACTGAAGTGTTTGTGACTGAGTCAAATGAGTGTTAAAAATGGGCCACCGGCTGTAGTCAATAGTAATTACTCATGAAAGGTTACGAAGCTATGCCACTAAGAAAATCAGATTTACACGGCTTTCTACATCACCAACACTCATAATTCAAGTTTCTGTTGGTATATTTTTGACCCAAGAGACGTCATATTTCCAGAAGACCTACAATAAATCTATGAACAAGCCAAAATGCCTGACTGTTGTTTTCTGACAAAGACACGAGTTTAAGCAATTCCATGGCAGAAAATGTAGTTATATGAGCCACTGGAAAGTGAAGACTGCCATGATATACATGGTCTTTACAGGTGTATGTCAACTCACAGGTGTGTGTGTGTATATTGTATTATATATGTATATGCATACGTATCTATCTATCTATCTATCTATCCATCTATCTATCTAGTTGCATCAACATATACCTGGTTTGAATTATTCTATCACACACTATCACAGGGTTATACTACTGAAGACCATACAGGTGCTGGTCATATAATTAGAATATCATGAAAAAGTTTATTTATTTCAGTAATTCCATTCAAAAAGGGAAACGTGTATATTATATTTATTCATTAGACACAGACTGATATATTTCAAATGTTTATTTCTCTTAATTTTGATGATTATACCTGAATACTAATGAAAATCCCAAATTTACTATACTAGAAAATTAGAAAATTACTTAAAACCGATACAAAAAAGAATTTCTTGAAATGCTGGCCAACTGAAAAGTATGAGCATGTACAGCACTCAATACTTAGTTGGGGCTCCTTTTGCCTGAATTACTGCAGCAATGCGTCGTGGCATGGAGTCGATCAGTCTGTGGCACTGGTCAGGTGTCATGAGAGCCCAAGCTGCTCTGATAGTGGCCTTCAGCTCTTCTGCATTGTTGGGTCTGGCGTATCACATCTTCCTCTTCACAACACCCGATAGATTTTCTATGGGGTTAAGGTCAGGCGAGTTTGCTGGCCAATTAAGAACAGGGATACCATGGTTCTTAAACCAGGTACTGGTAGCTTTGGCACTGTGTGCAGGTGCCAAGTCCTGTTGGAAAATAAAATCTGCATCTCCATAAAGTTGGTCAGCAGCAGGAAGCATGAAGTACTCTAAAGCTTCCTGGTAGACAGCTGCGTTGACCTTGAACCTAAGAAAACACAGTGGACCAACACCAGCAGATGACATGGCACCCCAAACCATCACTGACTGTGGAAACTTTACACTGGACCTCAAGCAACGTGGATTCTGTGCTTCTCCTCTCTTCCTCCAGACTCTGGGACCTTGATTTCCAAAGGACATGCAAAATTTACTTTCATCAGAGAACATAACTTTGGATCACTCAGCAGCGGTCCAGTCCTTTTGGTCTTTAGACCAGGCAAGACGCTTCTGACGCTGTCTCTTGTTCAAGAGTGGCTGGACACAAGGAATGCGACAGCTGAAACCCATGTCTTGCATACGTCTGTGCGTGGTGGTTCCTGAAGCACTGACTCCAGCTGCAGTCCACTCTTTGTGAATCTCCCCCACATTTTTGAATGGGTTTCGTTTCACAATCCTCTCCAGGGTGCGGTTATCCCTATTGCTTGTACACCTTTTTCTACCACATCTTTTCCTTCCCTTCGCCTCTCTATTGATGTGCTTGGACACAGAGCTCTGTGAACAGCCAGCCTCTTTAGCAATGATCTTTTGTGTCTTTCCCTCCTTGTGCAAGGTGTCAATGGTTGTCTTTTGGACAACTGTCAGGTCAGCAGTCTTCCCCATGATTGTGTGGCCTACAGAACTAGACTGAGGGACCATTTAAAGGCCTTTGCAGGTGTTTTGAGTTAATTAGCTGATTAGAGCGTGGCACCAGGTGTCGTCAATATTGAACCTTTCCACAATATTCTAATTTTCTGAGGTAGTGAATTTGGGATTTTCATTAGTATTCAAGTATAATCATCAAAATTAAGAGAAATAAACATTCGAAATACATTAATCTGTGTGTAATGAATGAATATAATATACAAGTTTCACTTTTTGAATGGAATTACTGAAATAAATATACTTTTTCATGATATTCTAATTATATGACCAGCACCTGTATGTACATATCAATAAGTCTGCACAAATTCAAGACTGTAGCCACATTATTTCTCAAGTTATGGCACTTCAAACATTATTCCACAGATTGGTGCAAAAAAAACAACAACAAAAAACACAAAAATCCACCCTACCTTCTTTAAGAATTTTTAACTCAAAAACTAATGTTACCTATTAATCTAGATTTTACACGTGATCAACTTAACCAAGATGGTCAGGCGTGGGACATTCGGCGAATTGAGGTGGAAAGACCCACATACTGTCATGCCCAAGTTTATGTATGTACATGTAGGGCTGAGTATACAAAAGTTAACTTCATTACAGTAGCAGGAGTAAATGTAGTTTGTTATTCTATCTTCTCAATCAGAGTCGCATTTTTAATTTCCTTCATCACAACTTGTGAAACTATGAAACGGTACAGTATTACATTATATCACATATAGATCTGGACTGCTGGTAGCCAGACAGTGAAAATGGTACACACCAATACACTAAGTGTAGCTACTAATCAGTTTCTAATCAGCTAAAGGAGCCAGTCACATGGTACCTGGTTGTTGTACACGTTTTGGTGTCACTTTGAAGGTAAAAGCTCCCTTGCTCTTTGGGGGCATACACTCACGCTGTATGATTCATGATGCATTTTGGTCTGTATTTTACATTCCAAAATGGATCCAGGGGCCCTTCTGGTTTCTCATCCTGATTGGTGATACCGATGGGTAGCAAATTAAAGGAAAATCTGAACCTTTAGTATACCTGCCTTAAGGGGACAGGTAATTGCTATTAAATACAAACTTGTTTTGATAACCTTTATCCAATGATAAAATAGTATTTTGTGTGGTTTTTCTTTTAATTTGCCACCTGTCTGTATAGCAAAGATCTGATATGTTGTTTGGTGTTCAGCCCTGTGTTGGAGTCTGTTGGTCAAATGAGACGCTGCAGCCAGCTTGAGGTTGTCACTACAGAGACCCCCAAAAAGAAGGAGAAGCAAAAAGGTCCCCTGCCTGGTGCTCTCATGGCTAGATCTGATTCTTCACATTTGAAGCCTATAACTTTTTCTGTCATTACCTTTAATCACTAGATTGGAATGGCGAATAACAACCACATCAGAAATATGCAGGTAAAATCATTTAAGATATCAATGGATTACATCTCAGATGCCATAGTATACTCTGTAATGGCTAGGTTCGGTGAATATGCAAGAGCATTTATGCAAGACAGCTACTGCTTTTAAAATCTACTACAAAAACAAAAAATTACCAATAAAATTTAAATGGCAATTTTTAAGGCCGAGTGATTTCCACACATTTTTAGATGTGTATTGTAGCGTGTAGTGGAACAACACTTTGTAGTTCAGTTACACTCGTTAATTTAGGGGCACCACCTCAGCTTACTGAAGAATTATTTTAAAAGAAATCTCAGAGACTTGATTCGAAATCATGTTTATCAGTCTGTTATCTGAAAGTTGTAAATTCTAATTAACTTGACCTCGGTTCCCACACAAAGAAAGACACGAAATTGTGAATTGGTCTAAAAGAGAAACATTTATTATCTAGTCTACTATTATAATACACATGAACTAGAAACAATGAAATTGGAGCATGTGTAGTGAACGTGTTATTTTGGATTACCCATCTAAAAGAAGAGGATTATGGTGAAAGCAGGATGGTTAGCGAACGATTTAACGCTAATGATTAATAATTTGGTTCACGATCGATACGCTTATGAGTTGTTGAATTGCCATAACATCAACCTGATCAGGAGCAGATAGAAATGTTGGCTTTGCCTACTGTGTGCAGTGCTGATGGGAACGGAGTCTCCTTTGGCTGGAACAGTTGTTGGTGAACCGGCACTTTTCGCGACATATCCAGGCTGTTTCCTCCTGAAGCGTCGTGAAGTTGCCTGCCAACAATTTTTGCCATGGAGTGCTGTTGGAGGCCCGTCAACAGCTTCCAACGTCGGCACACAGTGGTGGATCTGTCAGTAGGCACCCGGCGTCCCATGCGTGGTGTACGTGCTCCTCAGGGTTGATGAAAAATGGCTTTACTATTAACGGTGGCTCTCGTTGTGTTTTCTTCCACGTCTGGCATTAGCCAAAATCAAATTTGGAAACTGAGAGTGAAGGCGCAGTAAAATTGATCTGTTACAAAACTTAATTTCTGCGGTTTGACAGAATCAAGTGTGTGAATTAGAACTGAACTTTAAATGAAGGTGAGCACTATCTTAACAAAACAAAGTCAAAATTAAAACTCAGAACTATAAAAATGAAGATATATAAAAAGACGAAAGAAAAACGCAAAGAAACGAACCTAAGAGAGAGGTTAAGTGAGACCAGACGAAAAAAAAAGAAGAAAATAATAAAATAAAACGGAATCAGAGAGCAAGAAAAACAAGAAAACAAGAGCCTGAACAAAAGTAGTTTCCTACTTTTATTCTCCACGGTCTGGGGGTCGTGTATGGAAGGTGTGGAGAGGAGTTTGCCGCGATGTTTGGTAACTTAACCCTCCTCTCTTTGTTATTAAGAGGAGAGACGGCTGCGTTTCTTAACTTAAATAAATACAAAAAAACCCCAAAAATGCATTATACACGTGAACGCGATAAATTTGTCTCTCACCATGACCCCTGAACATGAAATGAAAGAACAGTGACGTACATATACCGCATGAGAAACAGCATAGGCTAAGCAACAAAAACAGGAAAGAGATATAAAATGTTTAGATATGAGGAGTGTATGTTAGCATATGGAAACATAACACATGGGGTGACGTATCGATTTCTACATGACTGATTATACCTATAATTTAGCAATAATAAATTTAATCAGCGGTAACATGGATGTTAGTGGCGATGTAGTCTCGACCTCACCGGACCATTTACTGTTGCTAGATGGCACTGTGGGTCCATGAAGCATGAATATTCATGTAAAAAGTCTTCTTAGTCCTCATACCACTTACAGATGTGATTTTTGGATAGGTGGTACAAGCACTTCTTAAGATCCATGCAGTTACAACACCCAAAACACAGATTTGTAAAAACTGTTATTTGGTCTGTATATGTATAAATGTAAAAGTATGAGACCTTTCCAGACCCCCACTGGTGGGCAGCCCAAGTTTCATGACCCTCCTTATCAGTGACCCCCCCCTGCTCGCTGGGAGTTGTGGGATAGAAGTGTTGGTAAGAGTCGGGGAGAGTATCCATAGAAAGAAGAAAAACCACAATATTCACACCTCAATGAGAATCACTGTGCCTTTGAAGTTGTTGTTTCCAAAGTGTTGGTGTCCCATTTGTTGTTTCATGGAGGAGGTATGAGCGGCCATGCTGTAGGAAAGTGCATGCATCACCGTTTTTCCAGTGGAATACCGATAGTGAAGTTGATTTGAAGTTAATTCCCTTTTGTGACGTGAATGGTGGTTTCTCCTGAGAACGAGTGGGTTTTCCCGTTCTGTATAGTGTCCAAGGTGGCAGTTGTATGGTGGGAGTAGATCTAGAACTTAAACAAAAAGAGTGCTTGTTACCTGGTTTGCCCCCTCGCTTGGCATTCCAGAGAGGACCAAGCTGTGTCCACTACAGTATACTGGCATGTGAAGCCGACATAGTCTCTCTGTATGTGTGTGGAGCAATACTGACAAGTTGGCTTCGGTAGAGGTGTGCTTGCTGCTGGCAGAGCCCCATCCGGCTCAGCAACATCAGGATATCTCTGTGAAATGCTTTGGTCAGAATAGCATAAAAAAATGGGTGCGCACAAGAGTTGAGAGGATAGAAAAGCACCAGCAGCACCTATGAGGAAAAACAAAAATCAATTTTTACTTTAAACAGAAAAACAAAAATTGAGATTAAAGCTTAAGAATAACTCACACCTTAAAATCTGTGAACGTCATCGGCGGTTGGTGGAGAGCCGCAGACAAACCGTAGAAACAAATGGGAGCCAGACACAGAAAGTTAGTGAAAATGAGAACAGCCATGCGTTTGGCCATGCTGGCGTCACATCTGCCGGAGTCATGCTGGGGGTTGTGAACCATACAGTAGATGTGGATGTAACATAAGCACACCACTATAAAAGCAATGACATTAATGATAAGAACAGAAACAATGTAAGTCCGAGCAACAGTTGTCTCAGTGTCCATCGGTAAGCAAATGCTGACTTTCTGGTAACTGTTGATGCCAACCACTGGCAGCAGTGCAGTGATCACACACAGCAACCAGCCAATGAGCATCAGCACAGCTGCATGGCGTAACCTAATTTTTCTGTCCGGCCTCATTGCGTAGAAGATGGCATGCCAGCGCTGAAAGCTGATGACAGTTAATGTGTAGACTGATAACTCACTAGCAAACACAGATAATACCCCTGCTAGACTGCAGCCATTTCCTGTTTGCCAGGTAATAGCATAATGGTAATAATGGGAGCGTGTGTAGAAGTCCACAGATGCAATAAGCAGCAAGTACATCCCCATACAGCAGTCTGCAAATGCCAGGTGACCCATAAGAAAACGGGTAACGGACAGTTTCTGTTTGCTGGTCAGCAGGATGAACAACACCAACAGGTTGGCTGAAATGGCCAACAAACTGACCACCCAGACCAAGACCCTCAAAAAGCTGTGACTCATCACATCCTCACAGGGGTTGAGGGCATCAGGCAGTGGGGTGCATAACAGTCCATTGTTGGTGTGAAGTTCATTACATAGCACAAAGTCAAAATCTTCACCGGCATGCTCCGTAGATAATTCCATATAAAACAAACCTTCATTCTCAGACTGTCTGCTCGGGCAAATGAGGCTGTTGTTGGGAGTGTGATTTGTCCTGCCAGTTCTTGGAAGACCAAGGCTGTCTATCAGATGTTGGGAGAGTTCATGTCCAAGATATCTTTGAGAGAGAGCTTCAAAGGATTCCTGCAGCCTCCCTGAAGCAGTCCCAGTCAGGTTGCAGATAGCTGCCTCAGAGTGCCTTCACATAGAAGAGAAGAAAAATTAAACAGTGAATGAACTACCAACGCTTACTGGGATGCATGCAAATGATGCATAAGTGGCACTACACCAGATAATTTATAAGAAATTAAAAAAATAAAAAAAACTATACATGTATAGTCGTAATGTCTGTCCTCAGAGCTTTGTAACAAAAAGAAACAGAGACATTTTCCACACATTGTAAATCCATCCATTATCTATACACTGCTTAGTCCTCACTAGGGTCAAGCTCTGCAGAAGCCTGATAAGGATCCTGATCATTTGAATCAGGTGTGTTGGAAGAGAGAAACATCTAAAACATGCAGGACTGTGGCCCTCGAGGACCAGGATTGCCCACCCCTGCACTATACTGTGGTTATAAGGGTAGTTTGGTATGTAAAGGACGAATACAGGAAGAAAAGAAAAACAGTGGGAAAGTAGTTCTCTGCTGCTTTCAATTCTCCTACTTACCCTCTCCATCTTTTCAGCATTTTAAGACCACAGCAATGGCTTGGGAATGTTAGTTCAGCACTCTGTAAATGGAGAAAGGCTCTAAATGGGGGAAGTACCTTGAGGGCCCATGTGTTTTTAACTTGAAGCTTTTCAATGCTCTCCATACCTATTGAAGGCAAAGAGCTTATTTTGGTTTCTGAAAGGTCTCTGGGAAGACAGAAAAGAGCTGAGATTAATTCATGAGGGCACAAAACTGGCTCGTCCTGTATTTTATTTGATGCAAAAGTATTTTTAAAATAAGAAATCTTAATTGTTTCCAAGAAGAACCTTGTTTCCTCATTTAGTAAACATTGTACTTTTCAGTCACTCACAAGTGAGTTGGGCCATGAATGACGCCATAAAATGCTAATTCATCTATTCGTTCCAAATCCACATTTCTGTGAAGGTACCTGAACAATGGAGAATAGAAGAGGGTGAAAGTAACATGGTCAGACTTTATCTGTTTGTTTTTACTACTTATAATTCCTTATACTAACACACACAATCCCATAAAATTGTGTTACTTTATCAAATCATTCACTATAAGACCACACTAGTAGTCTAGCCAGCCAAGTCGGTAAAGTTCAAATACACAAAGAAAGACACCAAATAAAAACATAGAAGTTGCATTTGAGAAAATGAAATCTTGTGTTAACACTCGTTGTTTCACCCATACACTTCCTCCAGTCTGCTCCCATTGAAAGCATAGTGCTGGATCTCTTTCACACCGTTGTTATTCAGCATGCTTAAAAAGGAGAGAGAAAAAAAGAATGACCTGTAAACCTTAAATTCACAATTCAGTTTGTATTTACCAAAGTGGAAAATTAGATCCATGTCTGTTTTTTTTTATTTTTTTAAACCTGCTGTGTGAAGTCAAAACACACAACCATAATATCTCCTGGTGTCACAGAACTTGTATTTACCCATCTGCTAATTTTGTATTTATTTTTTTGTTAGTTTAATTAGAGTGAATGAGTTTAAGAAAATGAGGATTTAAAAAACATCTGTCGTGTTTTGCCAATGCTTGCTCACCTGATTGAGGATTTTTATTCTTGGAGACTGTACACTAAAGTGAGTCATCAGTATACTTATTACTGGATATAATTAATTATGATGACATATTATAAATCTGTTGATAAGTTTATTTGCTTATTATGGCATTTTAAATTAAGTAGGAGTTCTATCTAGACTTCTGTCAACACATAACTGCTGAGCAAATATACTCCTGCTGCTTCTCTGTGAGAAATTAAAGAAAGCTGTCTTGCTTCGAAATGGCAAGTGTGAATTTAAATGAGGAATTAAATGAATTTTGAGATACAGAAATGCAAAAAACAGCAACTTACAGCTATGCCTTTAAATTGTCTTTAGGTTGTTTTCAAAAATTTAACATAAATAACAGTGCAATTAGATTAGAGTGAACATATCATACTGGTCTCAAGCTGTTTTAATGAATTAAAATAACATTTCCAACTTACATGGTCAAAGCATTCACAGATATTCCAGTGAAAGAATTAGCAGGTATGACTTGTATGAAGACATTCTCCACTATATCCCTGTTAAAAAAAAAGAATCAACATGAAATATTTTACGCCAGTTCACAAATGTAATCAAACAATAGACTTATGTATTCTTAAATGCTACATACAAAATAAAATCCTCTTGACTGGACTGAATGTGCTGTAACCCAGGAAAGGAAGTGAGACCTGTGTTTATGATCCCACTGTATTGAAAGAAACGTGAGTCAGGAACCAGTAAATGCTTGACAGGGAACAGAATTACTTTACAGATGTCAGCGATGATGTATAGAGGTGTCACATTGCTTCCTTGTCAAGACATGATAATTTGGTGCAGTAATAGGCAAATGGAATTATACTTACAGGTATTTTAACTTAGGCAGATCCTTAAAGGCCTCCTGGTCAATGTAGGACAGTGTTTTCATATCAGTCAGTTGTCTATTGGACACACACAAAATATTTTGGTTTTATCATGCATACCTTTTCATGCATGATTTCTTATTCTTGCAGAAAGAAATCCACACAAGTTTAATTTAAAGAAGTATGTCCATGTTCTTGTACAAGTGTTGAGCAGCATATGAAAGCTAAAAGGCCTTCTCACTCTGGTTTACAAAAATGAAATACATTATGGCGCTATAAGCGCTATGAGATGACTTGTTGTTGTAAATATGCGCTATACAAATAAAATTGAATTGAATTGAATTGAATTGAATTGAATTATGGTCAGTATAGTGTTACTAGTGCTACTGCTACGGGGCAGAGGCATCATATATGACTTCAGTCTGTATTTATAGTGGCATAAATAGGAGGCTTCATTTGAATCACAGTCAGGTTGCGCCCCTGAAAGCTTACGTACATGTGTGTGACCCTGGACAGGTTGTGGAAAGAATGCTTCTCGAGAAATCTAAGAGTGTCATCATCAGAGATGTATCTAAAAAAAACACACACACAAAAGCAAACAAAATACAATAAAACACAATGTAGAGATTCAGATTGTTCTAGAATTTGCACTCATAGGATTTATTCAAGCACAACTTGCATAAACACATTAGTTTTTCTGTGACATTTATGAATGATCTATGACAACAATAGCTTTTAGAATTTTCGCTCAGGCAAGAATAAGTTCATGAATGGTCAAAGCCCGTCACGTGAGCTTTTTTTCTCTACTGTCTGCCTTCAAAAAGTGCTTTCATCTAGTTTTGGTGTTGTTACGTTGGCTTGATAAGTGACATCCTTCACTCTTGTAAATTATACTGGTTGGAAAGAAAATGCTTAAGAAAAAAAGAATCTTACACACGAGATATATTAGCCAAGTTGGCAAAAGCATTCTGAGGAACAGAAGAAAGCTTTGTCCTCATAAGCCACCTGAAACAGAAACAGAGGACTTTTCAGTCTTAATACAATCATCACTGGCTGAAACCAGTGTTAAGGATGTAGTTACTTACACCTCCTGTGTGCTGGAGTGGAAAACAGGCATGACTTCGGCACCAAAACAAGACACACTGTGGATGTCCCAGTCACACTGGCAATGAAGTGGACAGTACTCCAGAGGAAAAGCAACCTTGGCAAGAATGAAAATAAAAAAAGAGAAATTCAAATTAGGCCTCATTGTAAAAGCAGAGATTCAGTGGTGAAGACGAACCAGTTTGGAAAGTGACTGGGCTGTCCTGGACTATGACAAACAGTGGAGTTTACAGAACTGGCACTTCTGGTTGAGAGCTTCAAAATAAAGCTGTTAAAGTAATGCTGTGTGTCTCCTTGTGTAATACAAATTATGACAGAAAATTGGAATAGATTTAAACAATAATTGCAATAAGCATTATTTTTGTAAGCATTTCTTATAAATTCAAAATACTTTTTTGACCCTCATGGGGTCATTTCAGCCAAGCAAGTTTTCAAGAAACCCTTGTTTTACCCCCTAAGAGGCTGATTTGTTTTTTTTTTCTTTTTTCTTGGGGTTGGCAACAACAGGAGCTTTAAAATGTAGACTATGATGACAGTCAGAGACATATTTTATGAGAAAAAAAAATATTGAATTACTTTTTTTTTTGCAACCAAAAACAAATTAAATGGCACTTAAAAAATTAACACTGGGGTTGTTGGAGGAGGAACTGTAGTTGTTATTAGAGCCAAAGTAGCAGCTGCTACAACTGAAGCGGTTGGTTGACTATGTTAAGCATTGTGAGGTGACATATGTTGTGAATTGCGATATATAATTAAAATTGAATTGAATTGAATTGAATTGAACTGAAAAGTAGTAGTAACAGTTGCAGCAGTAGTAGTGGTATCAGTGGCAGTAGTAACAGTATTAGTAGTAGTAGTCTAGCGGAATTAATGATTCCACTTGCCATCACTTGTCATTACATGTAATTAACTGCCTTGTTTATAGTGTATTATTAATTTCCTACGAGGACTGGATGTAACGTTAGTGTCCTTTGCTGGGCCCCTGCAGGCATTACCTTGTCAGTCTGCTGTATCATGTCTCCCTGATAGGTAGATCAGCAATAAGCTCTGCTGAAAATGCTAAATAAGTTTTTATAAGTGTATATAATATGTGTTTTTTGTGGCAAAACCTCTCACTTGTTGCTTTCTGGGAGTCCACAGCTCAGCTGACCTCATCTGGACCACAAACATCACCCATCAGGTGGGGAAGACACAGCAAAGACTGCCCTTCCGCAGAAAGTTAAAACAAGCTCACCCCTGCTGATCAACTTCTCAGTCAGGTATAGAAAGCCTCCTGGCACAGTGTGGTTCAGCAGCTACACAGCAGAGGACAGAACGGACACCGGCTGTCTCCACAGACTCCACCCACCCCCGACATTACCTGTTCTACCACCTCCCCTCTGGAAAGAGACATCAGACAATCAAATCAAACACTAACAGACTAAAGAACAGCTCCTTCCCACAGGCTGTTAAAAAAAGGACTGTATCCTTGAAACTCTCTGGGCTACTGGTTGTGTTTTGTTAACAGCACAGTTAAGCCCTTGTGGTGTAACAAGACCTAGAGGACAACTTTCAGGGACATGTAATGTGCCAGTGGAAGCAAACAAAACAACAACAACAACAACAACAACAAACCTCATTTTAATCAGAGGCAGTCTGTGGCATTTAGGAAGAAAGATCCAATGTAGAGTGTGGTGGCCAGTTATTAGATGGATGTGGGTTTCAGACTGCATATCCTGATCCATATTCATAATACACAGCTTATCTTTGATAGAAAAATGATCAAATTTAATTTTTCCACCCAAACTTGTTCTAGCCTTGAAGGTTTTGCCAAACTAGCAGAATGACCCAAAGCCAGTTTGTTATTCTGTCCCATATGTTGTGTCTTGACAGCTGGTTAGTCACATTTGAAATGGATATTTATAGTCCACAGAGAATATTTTGTAATAATCTGGTGACTCCTTAAGCTGCCATTCAGCATGGCATCAGTTCAAAAACTAATCTCCAAATACTTCAGATCTGAAAAACAACACACTGGATTTCCATGTTGTGAAAACTAATGGTCTACAGCATATGAACTGTAGGGGTTTAGCACCACCACCAGGCTAACAGTTACACTGTGCACAGGTCAGATCTGTCAATATCTGTATCTGGACGTATTCACATGATTTTTAATTGGTACATTCAAATCCCTATTTTTTATTTTCAACTTTTCTATGACCTCAGCACCACCTCTCATTGTCATATATTGCTGTAAGATAATATATACAAGGTTTAAAAAAACAAAGTGTAATTACTTTTTACTTGTGAGTGTTTTTTAATATATGCAGTTCAGCGTTTTTACAAACCAGCCATTTCAATTGTATAAATTAGCTAAACAGCAACAAAATTGAATGTGCAACATTTATTTTTTAACCTGTGATTTTTGAAAATACTTTAAAGGTATTAATGGAGTTCATTATAGCTATTGCCACTCCCATTTTGCCGACTCGTGATGTAAACTGGCAACCAACATTTGTGGGAGCACTGCTCTAACCACTACACTATCTTCAAACGTTTCATGTACTCACCCCACGAGTACTCAGCAACAGGGAGTCAACGGGGATTTAAAAATATTGTTATGCCCAGCTCGTTGAAGAGCATAACAAAGAAGGGAGGTCGACACGGAACAGCTTTTAAAGTAAATGAGTAATTTATTGAAAATATTAAACAAAGAAAAACTAATCATAAGGTCTACGAAATCAGCATAATCAAATACAACCAAACCAAGCCAAGCCAAGCCAAGCCAAACCAAACCAAACCAAACCCGGAGAGACCTGAAAGGCTCCAGCCTTCCAGGAGGGAGAAAGAGAGAGACAGCCATCTTGGCTTCCTCCAGCTTTTAAAGGCACCAAGCAGGTGAAACCAATCCTTTAACGAAAGGGAGGGGCAGGTTTTCCAGACTGGAAAAAGGAAAGCAGAGGCAGGAAAACACACACTGGCAAGGCCTGTGGCCGTCACAATATAATAAAAAAATATTAGCAGACATTTATATTTAAAAGCAAATAGAATAAACAAGTAAATAAGCTCGAAAAGTAAAAAAAGAAAAAAAAGTGCTGATTAAGAATAAAAAATAAAATAAAATAAAAGTCCTCTTCATGTGGGTAAAAGTGCTGTACAACTAAGTTAAAAAGAAGTGCTATGTTAAGAAAAAAAATAAACCATATTCGTGTTAAAATATTTACAAGGTTAGCTGTAAAATAAAATTAAAATAAAATTTAAGAAATTCAATAGGATGCAACAGAGGAGGAGCAATTAATATAATCATATAATACATTTAATATAATAGTATCATAGAATAATATGATAAAATAATAAATTAGGACTTTGTTGACTTATTTTGCCCCACCGCAGGGAATTCTGATAAAACCTTGTGAAGGTGAGGCCCTGGGGAAGCAGGAGGTTAGTATTCCTGGTAAATACCATAAAAATTGACACTATCAATTGGAAGTGGGTTCATCTCTTGTATTCTCCATTTAAACCAGTTGGGTCTATTGTCCTTAATCAATGAATCCATTTCCTCTCTGCTGCCTTGTCTCTGGACAGTGGTCCAGTCCCTGTTGCTCTCCAGGCCCATACTTTGTAAATTGTGTTGGCCATGGATTTTGAAATGTGCATACAAGACACTCATGCCATTCCTGCTGTTCGTCATGTAAATAAGTTTTATTCTGAAAATTATCTCAGTTATTACAATTTTTGCCAGGCCTTGCATCTAACTGCATAAACTCCACTTGTAGCTGTAGGCTTTACGGCAAACATTAGACAAACAAGTAACAGTAAGTAAAGAGGTAAACTAGGTAGTAAACAATGAAGTAACAAATAAGTTAACAGGTAAACAAGGAAGTAAACAAAAAAGTAAATGAGTAAACAAGGACATAAACAAGGAATAAACAGGTAAATGAGGAAGTAAACAAGGAAGTAATTAAAGCGGCGATGGACGGGTCCTCGCTGTGTGATTGTCGGCCTTGGCATACATCAGCGTGTGGCGCAAATGTCCTCCCGGTGAGACTGTGGTTCGAGTTTGGGGCAGATCGGAGCACGTGCAGCCAAGTTACGAGCTACTTCCTGTTTAATGGCGAGCCGCGGAGGCGTGCACGTTAGCCATGGCTGAAACGCGCACTGGCTGAGACTTGTAGCACGCGTGTAAAGTTTTAGGCCGATCGGAGCACATACAGGCCAGTTGCACAGCACGTCTCATATTCTGGTGTGTTATGGCATTTTGGCCAAATTCCAGGGGCGCCATTTCCACACCGTCAGACTTTTGCAGACCGTTTTACTAACTTTTAATCACCACATCCTGTAGTTTGTGATGGGCAAATTTCAGGTGTGTACGACCTTCCCTGTAGAAAGAGATAGATTTTGAAAATGGCCAAAAATGGCCAAAAGTCAGCCTAAATCGGCAAAATTGACCTGACCTGCTACACATGCCCACCCAATCTTGTAGCTGTAGGTGAAATGGCCTTCCGACAGGACTCCGTTCAATGCCAGAAACACAGCGAAAATGGACAAAATGGTCATTGATCGAAATTACATAGGTCGCCATTTCCAAACTGGGTCTCATCTGCGGAGCGTTTTAATAACTTTTAATCACCACATCCTGTAGTTTGTATGGCCAAATTTCAGTTGTGTACCATGTACCCCCTAGGAGGAGGTAGATTTTGAAAATGGGCAAAAATGGCCATTTTTCAGTAAAAATGGCCTGGCATGCTCGTCGCTTTTCCAACATGGCGGATTACCTGTTGGGTTTACAGAAACATGCTAATGGACTTTTTTGTGCGTCACGAGTTGTTACACATGTGTACCAATTTTTGTCGCTCTAAGTCAAATGTAGCCCCGATGGGACTCTTGAAATTTTGTAGGGGGTGCAGTTGAGCTGTGTTGCATTTTAGAGCTTGGAGCTCACTGACTTTTTTGTTTGTCCCGACCTGCTCTATATACCTACCAAATTGTGTAGAACTAGGTCAAACATGCTTCCAACAGGACTCTGTTGAAATTTTCAAAGGGACGCTGTGGAGCCATTTTGGCATTGACATGCCCAATTCCTTTAAAATATAATATTTCTCGTGAGGCCTGGTGTATGTGGCGATTTTGGTGAGTTTTTGTGCATGTTTAGGCCCTTAAAAATGCATTTCAAAAGTCGGTACAAAAATAATCACAAGGTTTACAATAGGGTCCTTGCACTGGTAGTGCTCAGACCCTAACAAGGAATAAAATGGGTAAACAAGAAGGTAAACAAGTAAGTAAATTAGCAAACAGGTACACAAGAAAGTAAACAAGGAAGTAAATGACCAATCAAAGGACTAAATAAGGAAATAAAGAACAAAACAAACAAGGGTTTAAACAATGAAGTCAACAATAGAATAACCAAGTAAGTAAATCAGAAACTAGGAAATGGCAAGTACGTAAACAAATTAGGAACTAAAGAAGGATATAACAAGTAAGTAAAGGGTTAAACAAGGAAGTAAACAAGGATGTAAATGAGTAAATGAGGTCGTAAACAAGGAAGTAGTTGAGTAAACAAGGAAGTAAACACGAAAGTCAATGTGTAAACAAGGAATTACATGAGAAAACAAACAAGGAAGTATAGGTAAGCAAGGGAGTAAACGAGTAAACAAGTATGTAAACTATGTAGTAAATCAGTAAACAAAGCCGTAAACGAGGGAGTAAAAAAAGGTAGCAAATGTAGTAAAGGCAGTAAATTTTTAGAGAATTTTTTTTTTTTGGATTACTTTCTTCAAAGTCAAACGTTTACATACATTTCCTTAGTATTAGTATTAGTAGTACTTGGGTCAAACGTTTTGGGTTTCCTTCCACAAGCTTCTCACAATAGTTGGCTAGTTGGCCCATTCCTCCTGACAGAACTGGAGTCAGGTTTGTTTGCCGCTTTGCTTGTCTTTTCAGCTCTACCCACAAATTTTCTACAGGATTGAGATCAGGGCTTTGTGAAGGCCACTCCAAAACACTGACTTTGTTGTCCTGAAGCCATTTTGTAACTGGCTGGGTGGTATGCTGAGGGTCATTGTCCATTTGGACGACCCATTTGTGCCCAAGCTTGAACTTCCTGGCTAATGTCTTCTTGAGATGTTGCTTCCATATTTCCACATAATGTTCTTTCATCATGATGCCATCTATTTTGTGAAGTGCACCAGTCCCTCCTGCAGCAACACACCCCCACAACATGATGCTGCCACCACCGTACTTCACAGTTGGGATGGTGTTCTCTGGCTTGCAAGTTTCCCCCTTTTTAATCCAAATGTGATGATGGTCATTCTGGCCAAACAGTTCAACTTTAGTTTCATCAGACCACAGGATATGTCTGCAGAAATTGAAGTCTTTGCCCCATGTGTGCATTTTCAAACTGTAATCTGCCTTTTTCTGGCTTCTTCCTCTCTGAGTATCCTTTCAGCCCATGTCAGTACAGGACTCGTTTCACTGTGGATAATGACTCTCTCTTACCAGCTTCAGCAGCATCTTCACAAGATCTTTTACTTTTGTTCTGGGGTTGATACCCACATTTCACACCAAACCACTTCATCTCTGGGACACAGAACCCGTCTCCTTCCTGAGCAGACATTCCCATGGTGTTTATACTTGTGTACAATTGTTTGAACAGATGAATGTGGAACCTTCAGGCATCTGGAAATTGTACCCAAGGATGAACCAGACTTGTGGAGGTCCACAGTTCTCTTCCTGATATCTTGGCTGATTTCTTTAGATTTTCCCATGTAGTCACAAAAGGAAGCAGTGTGTTTGAGGTGTGCCTTAAAATACATCCACAGGTGTTCCTCCAATTAACTCAAATGCTGTCAATTAATCTATCAAAAGCTTCCAAAGCCATGACATCATCATCTGGGCTTTACCTAATAGTTTGAAGGCATAGTAATCTCAGTGTATGTAAACTTCTGACTTTGAAGAAAGTAATAAAAAATTCTCAAAAAAAAATATCTCTCCCATTAGTCTGGCATTTAGCAAATAGAAATAATTTTGGTAATCCTAACTGACCTAAAACAGCACAAGTTAGTCTGAACTAATGTCACACAGTAAGAAAAAAGGTTTCTATGTCTTTTTATACAGTGTATGTAAACTTCTGGTTTCAACTGTATCTATGCACACACACATATTTAATGGAATTCTGTTTTTTGTGAAATATCAGTGAAAAGTAAAGCATATTGTTATATTTACAATAGCACAATATCATTCAGTGGTAAGAGGCTGAAAGAATGTTTTCTCCAAGAGATATTTTAAAACTCTGAGACACAAAACACAGAATTGATTTAATATTCAATGAGAAACAACAGTGCGGAAGGTTTTCATTATATATTTACATAATTTGAAGACACTCCTACTTCTAAAAGCAATGCATTGTGAGTTATGCTAAGCATACAAGTGTCAAAATGTGCAAGTGGTTATCGCCTGTTTAGTACCAATAACCATGTGGATGAAATGGCTATATGTTATCTTACCTCTTTTAAATTAAATTAGCTAAATATGACCATAAATATTATATAACCACAACAACTGTTGGGCTACCAAATAAATATAAATAATCTTCATCAGGTATAAAATACAATAGAACACAAATAGGGCAGCACGTTCATGTCATCAAACTTATTCATATGCTCGGCTGACTGCTGATTCTGTATGCATACAATTTTAAGAAACTATGGCTCACCACAGAGTCCAGTAATTGTTAGTTTTAATTTGCTTTTCAAAAGTGTATTATTGTAGGAGTCAGAGGGGGACAGTCTTTGGCAGATTTTCATAAACTATGCTCATACAAGCAGACAAAACTGTCAAAACGTTTTAAAATCACAAGTACAATCAGACTGCACATTTGAACACAAGCTGCGGTTATTGAAAACATCAGTGCATACAGTCTTTGGAAGTTGTAACAAATTAAATTTGGCAAAGAATTCTAATCAGAGATATGACTCAAATTCAAGCAGTTAATCATCATGTATAGATGTAGCAGTTTCTTTAAACCCAAGCGTACGAACACATGATGTCTTTACAGAGGATGAAATATTCAGCATTTTATTTCGTACACACTTTGTAGATATTTGCACATATTTTTGATTTGGAAGATGCCACCATAGAAAATTTGCTGGTCTTCACACTAGTAGTTATGTCTTTGGGGGCACCACCTTAACTGAGTCAGTCTGGACTCAGTGAAGATGTGAATACCTGCCAGCATACACATAAATAAAGCTTTAATTTGAAAAAACACTTTCAAAAATTTAGGCTTAATCATGCCAGGGACTTGAAGACAGGAAATTATTCCTCTGTTGTTTCAGTTGGACCATTCTCTAAACGTTGTGGAAGTGCAGTACTACAGCATTGCAGTAGCCCTTTAACATAGAAATGGTAAACTTCAAACATTTTGATCGAAACCAAATAAAGAATTAGGCACGCAAAATGTACAGGTTTATGGTAAGCATATAGGTGTCAGTATAAGTAATACTAAAGAGGCAGACTTTTGCGACTGCACACTACCTGTTGTTGTAATATTTACCTGGCAGGATGCTAAATCAGACATCAATGGTGTAGTCCAGGGAAGAATAAAAACATCTTCCCCACCTCTCATTAAATGCAGCTGATGCATGAGCTGATTAATAATGTGTTCATAAATATCAATTAGGCATGGAAGATCAGCATTGTATTCCTCAAAAAAGTCTCAGTAAAACCACCTATGGAACGAATGAAGTCAAACGGCTGTAGAGGAAAACACAAACTGCTCATTATTTCATCACAGCATTTAAGAACATAGCATGCACCTTGAACCTAGTTACTATTTATCTTTGCCTATTTTTCAACTATCTTGTCGGTGAGCACTTTCAGCTGCAGGACATTAAAGGCAGCCAGCAAGTTATTTTTGAATGTTTACTTGAAGATTAAGACAGTGATACCATTGCCCAGTATCCGATGTTACAGTTCCCTTAAGCATATTAAACAGAAAGGCACCATTGATATTTTCTGCACTGAAACATACTGTGAACGGTTGCTACATAGTAGTGTATGGCACTTTACCTACAAGACATAACCACATATGTACTTTTTTTTTTTTTAATATAAAAGTCTTTATTCACTACGTCACTAAAATAAAAGTTTCATTTTTCATTAATCTTTAAAAGTCTTTACACATCAAATAATGTATAGAAAATAAAGGTTTAATAGTGATTTCTTTTTTTCCCCCTCAACATAAAGGATTCTCTGCAATTTCTTTTTTTACTTCACACAGCAATTGGATCTTGTTCGATGATGGGGTTGGATGACTTGACTTCCAGGCCATCGTGTGGTAATGCTGGGTTAGTCCTGCTGCTGTCCATGGCCTTGAGCAAAGGGGTTGTAGTGCTCTCTGTGCTAAGGAAGGGTGTCTGTTCCCCCTGAGGCTCCTGTGTTTCACTCACTAACCTACTGTCACCACTGGACTCCATGTAATGAAGCATGTGGCCAGTAATTCCTTTAACGCTGCAGTCATTGATATTTTTGTTTGTATGAATAAATTTCTCAGTTGATTCGGAAAACATGTGAGCTCTGGTGTCGTGATCTCCTATTTGGTTGTTAACATTCTCCATACTAAACAGTGGGCTGGGTGGTAAGCTGTGTGCCACATGGCCATGATTGTAGTGGAAAGAGGTCCTCTTCTGTTCATCTCGGTTCGCTGACCTGTGTTGATGACCCGTGCTTGACAACAGCAAGGGGCGGTCCTCCTCACCAGAGGGGCTCAAAGCCACTGAGGGGACAGAGATGGCCAGGCTGGAAAGAGGGGGTGACATCTCTGATGGAGGAGACCCTGGAGTTAACGGAGAGGCCCAGGACTCTGGAGACTGTTGAGTCAGGTGTGTCATGGCAGATACAAACCTACAGAAACACAATTAGAACAGAAATAGTTTGTGACTGCAACACAAGAAACTGTTTTCAGCAGAGCGTTGCCATGTGAATAAGGCTGAATTTGTGTCAGCAGTGTCTGCTGCATTGCACGTTGTCATCAGTATATCTTATCACACTGAGTAATCATCATATTTTGCACTAATGGAGAGCAGCTCCTCTAATCTTAGTCCCACACAGGTGGATGATCTTGTTGATAGAACTGCAGCTTTCCTGCATACATCAATTGGCACTGTTGCCCCTATGAAAAAAAAGGCAATAAGTTCTGATAAAATAGCTCCATGGTGTAGTCAACAGCTGTGCATCTTCAAACAGATTTCAAAAAGACTGGAAAGACAGTGTTGCTCTACAAATTCCAAAGAATTTCATCGAGCCTGGAAAGATAGATGTCTCACATATAAAACAGCAATTCGTAGGACAAGAACTGCCTGTTATTCATCTTTAATTGAGTATAACAAGAACAACCCCAGGTTTCTTTTCAGCACTGTAGCCAGGCTGACAAAGAGTCACAGCTCTGTGGAGCCTTGTGTTCCTTTAGCTCGCAGTAGTGAAGAATTTATGACCTTCTTCACTCATAAAGTTTTGAATAATAGACAAAAAAAATCATTAACATGTATGTAGGTGCAGCAGCTCTGGACCAGATTTATACTTAGACTGTTGTAAATCTCTCAGAGCTCACGTTGACAGTAAATTCCTCTCATCCAGCAACATGTCTGTTAGACCCCATCCCAACTAGACTGATCAGAGGAAATCTTTCCTTAACACTGCAGTATTAAATATCATCAACTTCTCTTTACTAACAGGCTATGTATCAATCAATCAATCAATCAATTAAACTTTATTTGTATAGCACTTTTTATACAGAGAAAGTAACGCAAAGTGCTTTAAAATCAAGAAAACCCATCCCTCCCACCCTCCATATATACACACACCCACACACACGCGCGCACACACACACACACACACACACACACACACACACACACACACACACACACACACCAGTGAGAGTAGGGAGACATGTTATGACACTGAGGAATGTGCTACCAAAGACAACTTTGCATTGTTGGGTCTGTTCCTTACTATGTTAAGCACTGTGAGATGACATATGTTGTGTATTTGCGCTATATAAATAAAGTTGAATTGAATTGAATTTTATGAGGTGGAGAGATAAAACTTTATCCAGGAGCAGTTGCATAAATGCAGAAGATTGTTTTTCTCTTAATTCAAGAGTTAGAAGGCAGAGTCTGTACTGCAGAAAAGAGAAATTGGATGTTTCCATAACAGACAAATATTGAAAATTGATCCAGTGAGGAAGAATCTTCAACTGCAACACCACTGATGGTGTAATAGGTACTAGACTCCTTTTCAAAAAGTGCCAGGTAACACGAATCTTAGCACCTTTGGTTGGAAATATTTCACATCACACTCAAAACTCAGCTATTTTTATCAATAAATCATAAACTAAAACTGGCCCCAGATGGAGCTGTGGTATTGCTTAATTCCACCTAATATTTCACATGTATATTTATATTGAGGCAGTGGAGACCATCAGAAAGCCACTGTTGCAAGTCAACTTTTCAAACAATAGAACCAACTTCACCCCTAGTTACCTCGATATATATAGACCATCCTGCATCATGAAGTGCATTAAAGTGCACTCAGCTCTCGATGTTGCTCCATTTTGAACAGGAATGAGGAATTTCAAATTGAATTCAACTTTTTATACCCAAATTTGAGCCAGCTCACTGGGCTTCTATGAGAAGTCAGAAACTAATCAAGCATAACATTCAACTGCAAAAACATTTTTTTCTTTTCAGGAATGCACGTAAATGACTGCCATCTGACATCTTAATCAATAAATAATAATGTGCTTCACAATTTTTTCTTTCGAGCCAGTGAGCTGGCCTCAGTCGCACTTGTAGGTACCTGGCAAGCCTCTTATGCCCTGTTTACCCATCCACCGCTGTTTGTGTCATTCACTCAATGACAGACCGAGCTTTGTCTAATTAGCAAACCTTTCAAACTCTTTGCAACAAACCATCCTTAACAACCTCTTCCCACGCACACTCTCAGTCTATTTAACTGTATGGAACTGTTTCAAGTCCTATCATACCACTTACAATGTGTCTTTTCTCTGAGTAGACCTCATGTCCATCAGCAGCTTTATCACCCATGTCTATTCCACTGTAAAAATCCCTCCCTCCACCATTCAGACCTACTTGTCAGGAATCAACTTTTTCTTCAAACTCAGCACCAGCAACCGCTGCCCCTCCATCTCTCATTCCCACATCTCAGTTCCATTTCTGACTAGACTCCTACCACAGGCTGTTTGAGCTGCTGACCAGATATATTTATTTCAGACATGCTGTGAACACCTCATTTAAAGACCCAATCTTCCTTACCGAGACTGGTAAAATGGCCATTGGGTTCTGGTTTAGCAAACATTTCAGATATTATTTTTATTCCATCTATTCCTTCCAAATATGAGCATCTTCCACAGCAGCCAGGCTGGGCATCTTTAACCAAACAATCAAAGTTCTCAGCCACTTGTTATCTGAAGGCGAATGTTCTTAAATCACAGTAAGCACGACTATTTTCATCAAGCACATGCTCAACGTGGCTCCACATATTCACTCATTTTTGAGGATCCATAATAGGTTTGGGCATACAATGACCTGAGCAGCAACCCCAATCCTGATCCTCCTTCTCCCAAACCTCCATGGCTTCATCACTCCAGATCAACCATCCAGACAACTGCCCCATCCACCCTCACCTTCACTTCTATGCTTGTTGTGTGATCCTTGCTAGTGAGATAAAATTACATGGGCAACTTAGATAACTTCTAAATACCTTTCAAGCCTTCTTGTACCCGGTTAACCCATCCAGCACCATTTGTCTTGTTCTCCAAACCTGACTCAGTTACAGCAGTTCTGTCAGGAGGAATGGGCCAAACAGGAAAACCTGGGCAAAACTGATGGCACGATGAATGCAGAGTGTTATCAGAAAATACCGGAGGAAAATTTGCACTCATCAGTCCGGAAGCTGTGCATCAGACGCACTCTTAAGTTCCAATATGACAACGATCCAAATCACAAGGCCAAGTCGACCTGTCATTGGCTGCAGCAGAACAAAGTGAAGGTTCTGGAGTGGCCATCTCAGTCTTCTGACCTTAATATCACTGAGGCACTCTGAGGAGCTCTCAAACATGCAGTTCATGCAAGACAGCCCAGGAATTTACAGGAACTGGAGGCTTTTTGCCAAGAAGAGAGGGCAGTTTTACCATCTGAGAAAATAAAGAGCCTCATCCACAACCACAAAACTTCAAGCTGTCATTGATGTGAAAGGCAGCAATATACGGTATTAAGAACTGGGGTATGCAAACTTTTGATCAGGGTCATTTGGGTAGTTTCTGTTGTCATTACAATTAAAAAAAAAGAATAAACACAATTGTCTGACAATGAATGGCTTCACCCAACCACTAACCATGAGTGAAAGAAAAGTTTTTGTGTTATCATTCATATTCTCTGAGAAATGGCCAAGAAAT